ATTCAAGTGTAGCAATAGCAAGAACTAAAAATAATTCTACATAGTACATTAAAAAAATACATATAGAAATCAAGAATGAAAAAACAGTCTAATCATCCGGTCAGGACTTAAATGAAAATAAAATAAGATTATAACCAAGAAAAAGGAAATATCATACAAACATCTACATCTTTCTCGTATGTAACACCTAAAATCGTAGCATTTGGAAACTTTTGTTGGATATCAGTCAAGTGCGGAATGCTTGATAATTAAGTAAATATGACCGTATTAATAGATGTAGTTGGATAGATTAAATTAAAACAGTTACTATAAGTAATATGAAGTCATTTAAATAAAGTTTTATTCATCTAAGGAATTTTGAAATTTGAACAATAATTTCCGAAAAAAGCACTTAAACAAATAACCATCCATTATCTGAGATAATTAAATATGCCAATACCACCAATTTATCGATTCAAATTCAAATAATTTCATCAATAATTGTGAAATTATTATTACAGTAAATTCTCGAAATATCGCCTAGGGGAGAAATTGCGAAATTTGGCCTAAATTAGGCATAATTCGGGCCAAAACTCACAATAACGCTATTTTGAGAATTTACGGTACAAGTCGTAGTTTGATTCTATAGTTATAATACTTACGATGCTCTACATGGAGGACACCATGTAGCCCAAAATTCAACAACCAACACGGGCACAGGTTTAAGTTGGTCGCCGATGATAACAGGATCACCCTTAACAAAAGTTAAATCAGAAATTGGTTCAGAGATTACGGTGCCAACAGACATTTTTATCTCAGAGTATTGCACGAGAGTAAGACTCAGATGGATGATGTTAAAATTTCACATTATATAACGATAATGGACACCCTACCGCTACGTACACCGACAAACTTATTAAGTGTACTTTTTATAGTAATTTAAATAGCTACGTACGTACGTATGTACGTACGTACTTGCGTAATTGTCAGCCCATATCGCCAAATTTGATATTTACATACGCCAATCAATCAATGATATAATCACAGTTGACACGTTATAGTGAAGTAATTTGTTCCATTAATAAAATCTTTCCGAATTTTGGGAGCCAAAAAATTGACGGTTATTATGTTTTATCAATCAAATCGAGCTCGAATATAAGCAACCTTTATTTTTTTGCATCATTTTGCTTTCATTCGGTAACATATGGGGTCTTTGCCTTGAAAATCACCTTACGACATTTTCCGATCGGGCTAATTCGAATAAATAAAGGTCAAATGTGATTCATGTGACTCAGGACCGATCTGTCCAATAAAAGT